TTTGATCTACCCACTGGCCCATGGAGGCACACAGCAGGGCCGGCGCTCTGATAGAGCCGGCTCTGCATGGACCGACAGGGGAGATCCTGTGATCTCCCCTGCCGGCCTCGATGCGTGCGCACGCCTATGGCAAAGGGAGTGAGGATTTCTACCATTTTCTTGTATTGCGGTATGTGGGAGGGAGGTTGGGAGGAGAAAGCTATCTTCCTCTTGCAGGTGCTCTACCAGCAAGGGGAAGATTTTCACGTCTGTTTTTCAGCGTTCTTTGCGAACTGACAACAGACATAATATATTCACATAATTGACATTAGGGAGCCCAGTTCTGGCCTGCCTAAGTCACGTGTGCTGGGGGTGAAACTTGCCCCCAGTACATAATTACTAATATCTCTGTATGTGCAGTGTTTCAAGCAGATACTGACTCCTACCACCATGACCACTTCAAACCATTGAAGTGGTCACTGTGGTTGGAGTAACTCTTTAAGGCCTATTCTTTATTATGTATTTTGTGACGTATATTTAAAGAAAATAGAAAAACATCCAATCCAAAATGCTAAAAATAATTTACAATAAATTCTCAGGTTGTACACTTCCTGCAATTGGCACTGCCCCCTAAATAAAGAAGTGATCAGCCAATCAGGATGCTTCAACTCTTTTTCTATGATTCTTTTCAAAGTGGTGACTTTATCAAATAATCCCATGCACAGCTGGACTTTATAGTGAGAGAGAGAGCAAAGATTTCTTGAAATTGTGGTTTATTTATCAGCGTTTTACTTATGAAAACGGTTAGCTGAACTGAATTTCCGTAAACCTCTTTTCGTGCTTCCTGACTGCATGAATAAATGTGTTAATGGGGAAACATTGCATGAGGGTGGGAAGGAAATGGATCTGGGACTTCATGTTAACACAGTACTGTAATTCACAAGAAGAATATATTTTATTGTGAGATGGGACAGTGTACCTTTCAGCCATCCCAAATTTTAGCAGGACAGTTCCGATTTTGGGGTCCTTTCCCATGACTGGTCTCTGATGTCTTGCAAAATTTGTCTAGTGCAATGCAAAATATATTCAGGGCATTCAGCCAACATTGGAATGTTTCAAGGTGGCTATCTGCATGTGCCTTCTTGAGTGGGGTTGGCCAATGTGGTGCCAGTCAGGGCCGTAAGAGTAAAACACGTCCTTTTCAGTCCCCGTGATTTCTACAGACAAGCCCACCCCCTGTGATGCTGCAAGTGTTGCCATCACTTGTTTGCCCACCTCAGATTCCACATTCATGTCCCCAATATTAGAAGAGTTAAGATGCAAAAAGTTGCAAAATTGTGGGTTGTTATTTTATTTTTTTTGCAGATACTAGACAAAATTAAACATGCAAAACCTGCTGCTAATTACACAACAAAATATAAAATACCTGAAAGCTGAGATGCCCAGAGTGTCCTTTTAAAACTGGGGTCTTAAAGTTCTAGGCCATGGGTCATTTCCCACCTCTCAATATTTATGTGTGGTCTGCAGCCATCCATTCCAGTTTGACCAGGACATTCTCGGAACAGAGTCCTACCTCTATAAATCAGATTGCAGGTGACTTGGTCCACATAAGCATAGGAAAGCACCCTCCACCAAGACTTGTCCAAACTTCAGGTGCACTTGTGGATGTTTAGGGGTATGTGTGTGTTTGTGTGTATATGGGAGTATAAATCTGTGAGTGTGCACTTGTTTCTGGGGGTACAGATCTGCATAGGAGAAGACAACTTGGCCGGTGGTTCCTGGGTAATTTTAACCTTTGTGACCTCAAAAGAATAGGGTTGTGATAAGGCATTGTTAACTTCTGTGCAGGATATTATATTTATGGCACAGCGGAATAATGCAGTTATTATACACAGAGGAATATAACACTGGAAATACCTCTTGTGTAGAATAAAAAGTGGTCACACTGGAAAACCAAGGTTAAAAACAGATAAAGACCGCAAAGATAAAAATATAAAAAGAGGAAGCGAGGAAATAGAACAAGTAACCATACAAAGAAGAAATACACTTCAAGGCAGCTGATTTATACTCTAACATACCACAATATATATGTATATATAAAATGAAATGTCACATTGCACAGAAATGTAAAACATGAAATAGAAATTAAAGGGACCACCAGTGTTAATCCCAATCCCAGTTCAACCAACATGAATGCACCCCAAACTATTGCCCAGCAGGTGTTTATGGGGTATAGATATTTCACCATATGTCAGCAAACCTCTTGATTAGATAAAATAAATATGACACACTTACTGCACAGAGTACTCCCATCAGGTATATGTTACGCTTGTATTACAATTTAAAGACTATGCACATAAAAGGTGAGACTTCCTTACTTTCCACCGGCGGCTATCATTAAATGACCCTTTGCATTTGGTGTTATCATGGGCTTTTTAATTCATAATGAAAGGTAAGTGACATTTCAACTCCATCGGTATGGTGAAACTTTAATTCTTGATAATATATTTGTTTTATATAATAATCCTTCCATCGGGATTTATAAGGAAATATGTATATTTTAAAATGATGTATATGTAAAAAAGCTCATCCCTACCTTTAATATATGACAGGATCCTTCAGGCGTATACATACACATTGGGTCAGACAGTATTTTAAAACAGACAGTTTCTCTGATCTTCCTTGGTTTGGTGCAGGGAGTGACACAATAAAGACCATAGAGACTATTTTGTATGTATATGGCTGAAGTATGCTTTCATATACTAAAGGTTGGGAGGACATATTCCCATTGTTTTTTTTTGTTTTTTTTACATATACTTAATTTTTCTTTCAATACTTGATGAAAGGATTATTATATTAAAAAAAAAAAAAATATATATATATATATATATATATATTTTACAACTCTTTATTGCCACACATATCATAACATAAGCAATTATATAATTCAAAAGGTATAGCAGCATATTTTCATACAGTGAACCAGGGCAACAAGCCCTAAAACAGTAAAACAAAACTTTCATAATACAGAGTAGAGAGACACTACTATAAGGCACATAGCCCTGCGTTGAATTTTAAGTTCATCCTATAGCATCCACTAGTGACTAGGCACATTGCACATTGGGGGTATGCCATTTGTGTATTCATTAATGTGGTGGAAATTAATGAAAATATTTGAAATTCTCTAATATTGTAAATTTAGGGGTGCACACCAATCTTGTGTATAGGTTTTAGGCAAGTGGTGTCTTGTGAAGTAGGGAGGAAAAGAGTGAGGTACATGTGAGGGAGTTAAGGAGAGTGGAGGAGAAGATGGAGAAGAGTCTCTGCCACCGGGATGCAATTACGCCCATAAACCCCAAGTTACCAAACCACCCTCATTCTACCCAGAGAGCCCATGTTTTATCAAATGCGGGGATAACGTTTCAAAAGTGTGCTGTCAGTTTGTCCATTAGGACATTATCCTGGATTTTTTATTTTACCATCTTAAACGGTGAGGTCTCCTCTTTTAGCCAAAATTGGCTGACTGATATATGACTTGCTAGCATAAATTACTCATGAGTTTCTTCTCATTGGAGCTAAAACCCTCTAAAGGATTTGAAAGCAAGAAGAGCCAGGGATCCATTGGTGCTGCTCTTTGTAAAATTCAACCGACGAGAGCCCTCACATCCCACGAGAACAACACTACTCTTGGACATGACCACCGCATGTGGTGATAGGTTTACCTATGCCCGTATTGCCTCTAGCAGTCGTCTGATTCTGTCTTCCCAATATGATGCAATTTAACTGGTGTGGTGTAACATCAAAATAGGGTTTTAAATGATTGATTAAAAAATAGGTTTGAGGTGATAGTTGTCCTTTATCTCTTCACCCCAAAGTGGAGGAATTAAAGGACAGACATAAAGGAAATGCTGAAAGTAAGGCATATAGATAGTGAGGACATAAAAAGAACAGATGAGATCGAAAAACAAATGTGAGAGGTGCAAAGATAAAAAGTGGCAGGGGTTGCCCACCTCTCTGATGAATATAAGGTGGAACATAGTGCCAGTGACTTAATAAACACTCATTATTAATAGATTATACCTGTTAGCTGCCCATGTAAGCTAAACGGATTATATATTTGCTAATCATTAAATTCCTGTTAATTGTGGCCATTATTCTATTTTATTTTTACTTTTAATTTGCACCAGGGCAAACATGACTACATCAGTATGCACTTTGCAATTAGATATGGATTAATTTACGAAGAATAAACCTACCATTAAAACATATTCTCTCAGAAATGCTAAAATACTTTAGTTTAATTTGCTTACATAAAACAAATGGAAGGAGACAGTAGATTGTATAATATCGTAATATGGGTTTCGCAGCTTAAAGGCACATTTTTTATTGCATTATCTCATAGGATGATATCATTACTTTGAAAATGAATCAGTAGTGAAGTATAGATCCTGATGTAATCCTCAATAAAAGTCAAGGATATTGAACAACGTTCAGTGGTTCAGAATAGTCACATTTCATAATTACAAAGTCACAAGTGGGCTTGACTTATACTCCATCAGGGCAGCCAGCACGCAAATAGTTAAAAACAAACCTCAGCAGGTTTTTAAAATGCCAAATTAAAAACACTATCGAGGTCAGCATGTCCCCCATATTAGTATAAGGGAGGTGATAAAACCTCCCTATGCCCTGCAGCACTGCCATTCAGTGTCTCTACCCTCTGCATGGAGACACTGAACTTTCCTCATAGAGGTGCATTGATTCATTGCATCTCTATGAGGTGATGCTGATTGGCCAGGGTGGCATGTGGCTCCGCCGCCTGCCCGTCTCCTTGCCTGACTTCATCAGAATTGACAATCTCAGCCAATCCAATGCTTTCTGAATAAGGCAGATCAGGGGCAAAGCCAGCATCAGCAGACTGGAATAAAGGAAATATTTTACTATATTTAGGGGGGCAAGGAGGGACAGGGGGGGCTAGAGAGTGTTTTTACACTATAGGGTCAGGAATACATGTTTTTGTTCCTGACTCCATAGCAGGGCTGTCCAACCTGCGCCCTCCCCCTCCCCCCCGATGTTGCTGAACTACAACTCCCATGATTCCCTGGCTATATTTTTAATTGAAAGACTCATGGGAGTTGTAGTTCAGCAACATCTGTGGGGGCGCAGGTTGGACAGCCCTGCTCTATAGTGTCCCTTTAACTATTTGCAGCATGCAAATAGTAATTCAAATTATCATCCGCTTGCAAAAAGCAAGTCAACTTTAATTTGTAAATGAGCATCATACTGGATGCATTTGACCATAATTTTTTTAGTTGGTTCTTTGTACATATTCCGATTCATATACTTTGTTTAGAGTACAGATGAAAAAAGCACTGATTTAAAAACCAGACACTGAATGAATCTAGCCAGTTGGTGCAGCTTGGGTCAGGTTGTCCAAATTCTGACTGGAATTAGCTTGAATAAATATGAGAGAATTATCTTACTTATCTTTTCAACAAAGCATATTTTGTTTTAATATTAACAGGAAAATAATTTGCTCTCTGCAAGAATTCCAGAAGGCATGGGATATGTTGATTTACCAGATATGCTAGACAGCTAGAGCCGAGTCGAGCTATGAGTTTGTCCATGTCGCATGAAGCATTAGGACAACCTTAGATAATTAAAGGGACACTATAGTCACCAGTGCAACTACATGTATTCCTGACCCTATAGTGTTAACACGACCATCTAGCACCCCTGGGCCCCTCATGCCTCCATAAATATAGTAAAAATCTTACTGTATTCAAGCCAGAAGTTGTAAATCTGCATGCTGTTAGACTCAGGAAAAACAAGCAGTCTGCTGACAGGTGATAGCCTGATCCAATCACAGTGCTTCCCCATAGGATTGTCTGAGACTGACAAGGAGGCAGATCAGGGGCAGAGCCAGCATGATTCAAACACAGCCCTGGCCAATCAGCATCTCCTTATAGAGATGAATTGAATCAATGAATCTCTATTAGGAAAGTTCAGTGTCTGCATGCAGTGGGAGGAGATACTGAATCACAGGATGCTGTGCATAGTGCTGCCCTGTGCTCTGCTGACAGCAGATCTGAGTGGATGGAGGCATATTATGCCTCCATCAACTCAGAAGTCCCTCTGGTTCACTCTGAGTGACTGCAACGGGAGGTGTTCCTAGCTTTCAATGTAAACACTGTATTTTCTCAGAAAATAAAGTGTTTACATGAGAAAGGATGCAGGGAGCTATGGTTCTCATCTGAATAACCTCATTTAGCTGAAGTTGTTCAGGTGACTATAGTGTCCCTTTAAGTCAGTGTAGAACCATGCCTCAGCCAGATTACCTCTGATTATATTTGATAGTATGTTATGTATTAATTTGCTTGTGGGCTTGAGAGACTGTGTTAGGCTGTGTTTTTAATTGTGTTGTGGACATGAGAGTGTGTTAGGTCAGTGTGTGTTAGACAGGTGTCTTAGAAGGACTCAAAAAAAAATAAAATTAAAATTTAGGACAATTCCCCACTTAAGAATTTTGTGAGAGATTTTCAGAGCGTTCTCAAAGTGTTATAAAGTGGTGCAAAAATGTAAAAGGGGAGGAGACACCAATGGAATGTAGCATAGTTCCTATAGTTTCCACAGCGAATGCCCTCCTTCTAGTATTTTAGACCACTCTTTAGAAGACAACACTTTGATAAATCTCTCGCACAGTCTCAGTTTGTAGTTTTCACAAGTGTCATTTACCAAACCTTTGATGCCTTCTCACTGTTCCCCACTATTCTATTGGATATGATTCACTTAAAATAACTTTCAGTTTAGAAAAATATATTAAAGAAGATATTTGCGATTACTTGACCACTGACTATATATTTCCATATACCCAACCACTGCCCCCCAATAAAAGACCGGACATATACATGTGGATAAGAGCAATGGCCACTGCTTTATTTAAACCAGGTAAACATTTTATAAAACCCAAGACACCTCTTTGTAATAGACACCTCTCAGGCATAGTGAACCTGAGACACCTCTTTGTCAATGTCGTCATTTACTGACCCGACCGCCCAGTAGGACAAATGATGAATGAGATAGAAAACCCTGGGATCCTTCTTGGGCACTGGAGACACCCTTAGGTTAGGAAATGGCAAGAAATCAAAGGGGTCTGCCATACGCCCCAACCAGACCTCCTTCTCCAGCTTATCTGCAATGACTTTGTCTTGTCCCTCATCCGACCACAAATTACCCACAAAAGGGATCCAAAAACCAGTGAAAAACCTATTTAACAATATCTGAGCCTCCCTCCGCTTAGAATACTGGTCTAGCCACGGGCGCATCTTTTCCACACTCATCGGTGTCCTCTGACCTAGGTATGTCATCTTTTTGCTGATCGAGCTGCCATCCTGAACACCAAAATCCATCCCAGAACCAGCCGCCATCTCCTGGTGGTCATATCGAAAACCAGCATTGGCTCCATGAACTTTATATGCTCCAAGATGAAATCCAGGTAGCCAAACAAGACTGGAGTCTTCTCTGGGAACCTGCAAGCTAAAATTCTCATAAGCATGGCAAACCCCTGCAACCAGTTACCAGATGTATATAGAAATTACTTATCCTTTTCTTCTTCCGTGTCACCCAGCCATATCCTGTCCACCATCTCGCAGTTTGGAGTGACCGACAATAAATTAACAAGCTCACCCTTGACAATCTTCTCCTCAATGTCCAGCACCATATACATACCCAGAGTGAACAGTTCGCACCCCGGTAAACGCAGGCAAAATCCTCCCACTGGAAGCCTAACCGAACCCCCTCAGGATTTTGGTGGGCAAGGAAACAATGAGACTGACGCTATCAAGGAAGTCACCATGCCCCCCATGAAGCCATGAGAAAGCGCACTACCTCGCTTTGTTCCTGCACCAGCTGTACCCTAGCCTGCTCGCCTTCCCTATCTCCCAGACCCTCCTGCACTTCACAGGCGCTGGCACAATACTCACTAGTAGCAGTAGAGGGACCAGGCACCAGCCTCCCAAGTGACTCCTGTCCATCTGATCATGATCCCGACGTGGACTAACTGGGTTGAGCTACTGGGGACCCGAATCAGTATGGTGAGCCTGCCCGGTCTATCACATTCTGTCTCTGCCATCCACTCTACTGCCTGGCACCCGAGATCTTGATTCTGGCAAGGCCTGTGACAGCTGCGCTCTCCTGCGTGGTGCTGTTACATACACTCCTTGCGGGAAGATGTCCCAGTATATTGCGCGCCTTTCCATCCTCGCCAGAAGATTGCCAAGTTCACTCATAAAACACACTAATAAATATCCTAGCAAACCATGGAACAAACTTCAGACTAAAATTGTTAAAGGGACAATAGGAGCCCACAAACCAATACATTGTAGTAGTCTGTTTAACCCTGCAATGTGAAACACCTCTAGTGTCAGTCTGGAAGATGTGCTTCCGGGTACCTCCGACGTTGGACAGCTTCACACTTTGCGTGAAGATGTCTAATATCTTATATGTTCCTCACAAGAAAGCATTGGTTCAATGGGGAAGCTGGAATGCGCATTAGGTCCCACCATGACCATGAAATTGCAGGAGGGTGAGACCTAGCAAGTGCTGAGAGAGGTAAGGTAAAAATCTTTTTTAACCCTTTAATCTTCAAACGTGGGGGGATACAATAGCGTTAGGAATACAGGTTTGTATTCTTAACACTCTAGTGCTCTTCTAGCTTATTTTGGATTCAGTACCAAATAGAGAGAGAGATTAAATAAAAAAAAAGCTAACAAAAGATTTATTTTGTGGTTGCATGCACGGTTTAATTTATTTGTATAAACTGGGTATTGAATCCCATCAATGTAGTTATTTTGCTATTTTTATCACACATATTTGGTGTTCATAAACTTTGTTTCCGCTTTCCTTCTTTGGGAACTTGTGATAGTGAAATCTCTTTGTTTTATTTTTGTTCCTTAAATGAATTTTTCAGGTTTTGATTCTCTATTTTTTTCAAACTGTCTAGCAACATTCAATAAACAAAAGGGTGACATAGGACACATCATAGTTCATCAAATTGAGTGGAAACAAATCTCACTTTTAACCCATCAATAAACAACGTTGCTAAGTGGGTCAAACAAGGAAACAAGACGTTCGTATGAACAGAGTAAATAGGGTGAGGGCATGGACTGGGGAGTATACAATGTTTGCTTTTATTTAATTTATGAACTTTTCTATTCCAGTTGTCATCTTTGAGTTCAACACTAAATAATTAATCAATTCATTAATTATATATTCTTTTTTTTTTGTGATCTGGCACATTGATTCTATCAAATGTAACTGCATTATCTCTTATAATAAAACAAGGGAGTATAAAATACTATTATAATTTGTAGATGAAACTCAACTTTATGGCTATTTTATTTTTATTAAACCTGACCCTTTATTACAGAGCATATGACCTTTAGAAAGAATTATTTGAGATAAAGTGGAATTGTGGAATTTTTCTTCACAAAGAGATATTTTTGTGTTCCTTTATCAAGCTAATTCATAACTCATTAACTCAATTTATTTAAATGTTATTGCACAGTTTACACAACTCAAATACAGTAGAATTAAATGATGAATCTTCAATTTCTAATAATAAAAAAACTAAGAACTATAGTTTTAAGTAATAAAAAAGCAAAAGTAAACAGTTAAATAAAAAAAAAAATGGAAGAATTACTCCAACCAAGAAAACAATGTTTTATTAAAATACTTTTTTGGTTGTTTTACCTCTTCCTGTAAAAGTTTTTCCTGACAAAAGGTGAAATAGATTAAAATAACTCATCTTAACTCCAGCGCTGAGGCCAAGTTCTACCTGCAGCCCAGTTCACTTACATCCCAGTTCCCTTACTTTGTGGTCCAATGAAATGCTTCTCAGTAAGGATCTAAAGTGTATGTTCAGCAATTGCACTTGCTCTGAGGCATGCAGGGGTAGGGTGGGACAGCGGCAGGACGGAGAGGGGGAAAATGTCTCCACTGGACACTGTATATGTCCATCGCCAGCATGCTATACGAGCTGATAATGAATGTATTTCATGCACAGAATTTACATTAGTATTGATAAAATATCTCTGTATGCGGAATGTTTCATAAAGCTTGCACCATGACCACTTTGAAACAAGTAAGTGACCATGTTGCTTAAAGTAACCCTTTGCAATTGTTTACAATTTCA